GTGCTGAATAAATCAGTCCTGGATGCTAGAAGCTTCTTAAAATCCTGTTCTCAAGACTCTCCTACCAGTTAGGTAGTAAAATCATATCTAACACAATTATTAAAGAAACAGATTTTCCATTTATTCTAAAACCAAAACATAATTAGATATTGTAAAATTAAGAATTGGGATAGAGATAAAGTAAAAGCATATATGTCCTGTTGGGATTTGGGGTATTCATATATAAAGAAAATATTCTTAAATGTTTACTATTTCTTAGGGACCTATTTAGGGTCATGTTAAAAGATACCCATTCCTTGGTTCAGATAGTCAGCCATTCAGTGACAGATTTATTTTGTGTTCCTGCCTTTGTCGCACTGTGCTGGGATATATTCATGTTCTCCTTCCCCTTTCATTTCTTGTGTTTTTTTGTTTTTTTGTTTTTTGTTTTTTTTCTTTTTCTTTCTTGTTCAGAACCACAGATAGGGTGTCTTCTATAAGAAGTCTATGCCTTGGACTGCTTGTATAGCCTACCTTTAAATAAAATCCTCAATCCTTTACCTGAAATCTTTTGTGAATTCAGAATTTTTATTTTCTAGGAACATAATATGCATATATGGCATATTATTACATACATATTTCAGTCTGGGGCAGGGCTCATTAAATAATTTAAAATTTCTGAATATTAAGATCAAGTGGAATAAATAATTTTATGTGGCTTCATGTCAGTTCAGTTTAGGTTTTGCCACCAAATGAGTTTTGAAAAAACCTGATTTTCAGAATTTTTCAGATTTTGCAGATAGAGACTGTAGAGCTATATAATAAAGGTTTGGAAGAATTATGAAATAATTAGTTTAAAGTAATTAGCAAATTCCCTAATAAAGGCACAGTACAGGAGAAAGCACCATAACTCTTCTGACTTGCATTGGATTGTTACTAGCATCATGCTTAAGTGCCTCAACTTTTCCTCTTTGTCCAGCTTCCCATCCCTTCCAAAAATTGAAAAATGCCTGTCTTTCAAGAAATGTTTGCAAGTCAAGTGGTGCTGACTTTTCACCCTCTGTACCACATTCCCGAAGCACAGATGTATTTAAGTGCTAACTTTTCTTCTTTATAAGAGTCCTTTCCTTGATTCTGCTTGTCTACTAGTGTTCTAGCTTCTTGAATATTCATTAGGCTTCCTCGTTATCAGAATTAAAAAAGAAATTCTTATTCCTTTCTTGCACCTCCTGAAAAAATACTTTTTATGGTTTTGTGTTAGGCAGTTTAAAGTTTATGATAGGCAGCTTTAAATAATATAACTATATTTATTATATATACATTTTTACTGTCACTTAGAAGTTTGAAGAAAATATTTATCAGTAGGCTACCATCATTCTCACATACTGATTTCTGAAAGATTTACAACGTGGTCAGAGTTTGTCTCCTTAGTGCTTTCAGGGCATGATATCTTAAATCATTCTTTTCATCAATTTTATGTGAACTTGAAAAGAATCTTCCTTCCCAGGCCCTTATAATTAGTCTACTGTGATTTTGTTCCTAGGTACAAAATTATTTTAGATTTTATTAGCTTTAGATTTTATCTGTGGAAGTGGCTGAACAGACTGCATTTAAAATGATAGTTTTAAGTTTTATTTCTTGAAAAGCAATGGCAAAGTAGTTATGTGTTCAGTGAACACCTGCTAAATTGCCTGGTTAGTCTGTGTTTTAATTGCCTTTTTATTGTTTATACTTTAAATCAAACTTTCTTAACTAGCTGTGTGGTTCTAGTTTGTTGTCAGATTATTATACAGTGAATTAAGTTTATACAAGGTGTTTTAGTTGTGTGGTTTGTCTAATGAAATCAAAGCGATTTTGTTTGTTGCTTCCAACATCTTGCAATTACCTCATCAAGGATCATAATTGGGAGAGTGCAGAAGATGGAGAGGAAAAATGTGTGCCCTCTGTGTGTTGGATTATGATGAGATATTTTGTTACACTGTGAAGGCAGAGTTAGCATGGGGACTACCAACTGTAATCTGGGAAGGATTATAATCATTTCCAGTTATGATATTTGGAAATGCATAACTTGGTAGAACTTAAGAAAAACTTGGGAAAGGAGATGAGATAGTGGCAAAGAAAAGCAGACGTTAGTTTTGCTGTATCTGCCAGGTAATGCAAATCTTGAATGATCCTCTTCTGTTATTGCTGTAATGCCAGAGGTTTCCCCCCCGTTAGTTGGAACTGTGTAATGCACCATGAAAGAGAGAAAGTAAATATCTGGACTACGAGTCATTTTTAAAAGTGATTTGTATTAGGGTTGGGCAGGGGGGAAGTGATGATTAAATGAGAGTCCTTAGCTGTTCTGTTTTGTTTTGTTTTCTGGTTTCTTGCACACTCAGTCCTCTGTTCTCTCTTCTTTCCTCCCCGTGTCCATCATGTCTTCTGAAATTGCTGAGACAGAGCTAATTAACTCAAAGCAGTTCACAGCATAGACTGAAGTGATATGGCGTATTTCAAAGTCTTCTGTTCTTCTGAACCAGATTTTTTTTCCTTCTAAATGCAGATTAATAAAGCATGCACTACAAGAGGAACAAGGAAAAGGATTTTAGTGAAGGTATCCCGATCCTGAAAAAGTCAGGATCACATACTAATGTGTGTGTCAGAGTCACATACTAATTAGGACTCATACTAATTAGCTACTAAAATGAAACAAAACAGAACCTAGTTCACAGCTTATTATAAAAAGTGATTTAATATTATATAAAACTAAATGTATGGTTAAAATTATTATTTGCTTTAAATGTGAATCTTTTTCCCCTATGGGACATGGGAAGGAATCTGTGTTCTGGATGCTTATTACCTAATTTATTGGTTGGGCACATGTTACATTTTATTATCAGAGCCCTTATGACTAGACCTGTGTAGTAGAGCATCCAACAAACCTGCCAGTAGGAATTCTAGGCTCAGTACCTGGATGTGCCTCAGGGCTTCTGCAGAATCAGGATACTGGCCCGAGTCTTCAGACCATATTATCTCTAAGCCTCTGGGAACATGGGGTTAAGCAGTAAATCACTCATTTCTGGGATGCTGGCTTAAACATCTTTGGTGCTGAGGATAGGTGATCCTCAACTGTTTTTCTTCTCCACGTTGCACATTAGGAATATAGCATTGTCTTGCTGGTAACAATGAATCCTGGCAGTTGTGATTCTCCAGGTGTGTTTGTGATGGGACAAGTCAGGTGACACGTAAGCTCTGGTAGAGGGCAGTAGGAGGGCACCAATAGGTTGGCAGATCCTTCAGGTAAGTCTGTTAGCATTGCCCTCACTATTCTTTAGAATTGCTTCTGTGGATAAAATAGGGTTTTACCCAGTATGTCAAGACTTCAGTGTCCTTTGTAAATACGTTTTTGACTACACAGCTTCAGCCACTCTTCTCTCGCACATCTATGGAATCTCGGTGAACATAAGTGGTGTAAGCTAGGTTGTGTGATCCTGATGCATACTATAAGCCATTAGGAATTAGAGAGATTTTTATTGCTGTGTTGTCGCTTTTGGTATCTCAGAATACTATTTCTATCATAAGAGCTTCTCCCGATAAACCCTTTATAAGTCAAACATTTTATAGATTTTATGCTACATGCTCGCTCTTTTCTTTTGTGTTTTCCTGTTGTCCTTCACTTTAGTTTTGACCACTCCAAGTATTAGTTTTACTTCTTATGCGATTTGCAATGCAATTGAAATACACAGAACACACGTAGAATAAAAGAGCACGACTACGCTTTCTAATGCACTAAATACACAATACTAGCTGGTGTCTGCCATCTTTGATGTAGCTGCTATGGGTCAGGGGGAGATGGGGTTGCTATTTGACTATTCAGTTCTGTGGTCCTGCAGTTACAAAATTGTATAGGAAACCAAAATATTTCAATCAAGAAAATATTCACTAATGAATCAGTGAGTTATATTATTCAAACATCCTCTTTGAAATATCTTTTGATTTATTTGAAGATAATCTGATTCAAATTGATCATAAAGTAAAATCATAAATCTTTCAAAGACTCTGTTTCATGAAGTCTGTGATATGATGGTCTAGAACATTTCTGCTCACAGGCAAAGCCATGAAACAGTGAGGATCTCCAACTAAGAATTCTTTGAATATCAAAGAAATTAAGAAGAGGACTTTAGGAAAAATGATGAAGTCCTTGAATATTTTTTACAAATGTAGTTATGTTTAAAACCATCCTATAAAAATTAAATGCGTGAAGGTGTCATAATGTGCTAATATAAAATATTGTTGGAAAAAGTCTGCCAGAAACTCCAGTTCATTCATTTTTTTGCTCATTCTAAGAATTGCATGTAGTTTTAAATAATTGTCTAAACTTATTTTAATAGTGTGTGTTGTCCTTTTTCTAGCTAGGCCCAGTCAAATCTTTTTTACCACTATTTGTATAAAATTTTAACACCCTTTTTAAGTGGAGCTACTTGAAATGATCTTTTTTCCAGAACCAACTCTCTTGGGGAATAAGGACCCCATGTATATAAAATAAATGTGTGATTCTGCATGGATAGCCATACATTTTTGTTGTCTTTTAGTGGTCTAAAGTGAATGTCAGGATTTTAATTGAAATTAATTGTGGCTAAAGTACAAATAGGCAATGTATGTGTTTTCTTACTCAGCGAGCTTAGGCAGGGATCAGGAGATTAGTTGGATCAAGCTGATTATTTTAGAAAGGCTAATAAAACCATGTGTTATATAGGTCATTTTCTGGGCCATGGAAATAACTTTATTATAGTTCTATTAATGTCTTCCATTTGTATAACATTTTATTCTTAGAAAGTGAATCATTATTTCATTACCCTTTGTAGTGTGTGTTATTTGTGATGAAATTGTGTGTTCTCCAAAAATTTTACCAGAATGTGTTCCTTATAAGTCCTCTCCGTGTGTTGACTCTATGTCTACAAGCTGAGTCTTTACACATAGTGTAAAAGAAGTAGAAATACTGTTTTAAGACCCGAGTAGTGAAGCAGCTGTTTTTGCAGGTATCTTGTGGTCTGTAATCCTTCAGAACAAGACCGAATCTCAGTGGTCTCAGTCTATGTGAGTTCCCCCACAGCACAAGTGTCTTTTGCTTCCGGAAAGCCTGTGGAAATTCAGATGAGTGCAGTTTGGAATACAGCAACTACTATTTCACAGACAGCCTATGAGGTACATTTTCGCCATAGAACTTAAAGAGGCACCATTAAAAAAGCATAGCCAGTATGTAGTTTATATATGTATCCATGCTCCCTTTGAGTCATCACATTGGTGTATGTGAAGTGGTTAAAGTTGTGGATACCAGGGGATTTAACTGACCAGTTAAATGACACTAAAGGAAAAGAGACCCTGTTTTTCCTAGAATACTAATATCTTCTTTAGTGTGTATATCACATGTTATTATTAGTATGTTATTAGCATGTATATTGTATATCTTTGTAAGTATTGGAACTTTTTCCTGAAGTAATGAAGTCATCATTACCTAAAAAAATTTGAAATTCTTTGTTTAACTCAATTCAGTAACAATTATGCACACTGAAGTTGAGATAAATAACACCTTTTCTAAATAACTTAGGTCCTTTCAGCGTCTCATTGCAAAGGTGACGTGACACACCATAAAAGAAGGACTTCCTAAAATAGAGGAAGGTGCTTTTTACCTGAGATACAACTGTGGAAAGCCTGGCCTGAAGTAATAGACATTTTTGGAGAAAATTTCTTAAAGTAATATTAAACTGGACCCCCGCATCACTAGAAAAGTTGAATTCTTGGAGTCTCGAGTGCAAATTAAACTGTACTTCTGAAGACGCAGCCAAAAGCTAGGAACTCTAAATGAGAATTACTTTGCTTGTTAAAAGCCATTGCTGGCTGCTTTCATAAATTCATAATCCTTTAGTTAGAAAGGAGAAGATAATAGAAGTTTTGGTCAGATGTTACAGGAAACAGCCTATCTAGAAAAGGGAGGAATAGCTCCTAGAAGGCAGAGGTCACGACTTACAGTGTGTGTGCATCCTCTGTGCTTTGTGCATTGTCTGCTGGACCCCAGGCATTCGATGGCCACTGTTAGCCTGCCTAATATTTATAGTATTACATTTACCACTTTTATTTTTAATGTACTTGAAACCATAGTATAAAAAGGGTCCTGATAATTAGGAAAAATCGTTGTTCACCTAAAGCTCCTACCTTCATGAAGCATTTTCTCCTCTGAGCATCCATTAAGAGCACCATAGGACAATTGAGGTTGCTCGTATAATTTCATATATTGAATGAAAGCATTCATGCCTTTGATAGTCCTACCAACCTGAAGTTATTAGATTCCCTGGATAAACGGAAATGTGCATACTCTACCCATAAATTCTCAAAACATCTTTAAAGTAGAGTATTAAATTCTTTTTAAAATACGGTAGTTTTTTTGTTGTTGTTCTTACTAGATGTATAAATCCTTTTCTTTCAGTAGATTGCATTTCTCTTTAAAAAAATTCTCTCCTCTGTCTTTTAAAGATCTCCTTCCTAGTGCAGATGCCACCACTCGGACTGAAAGTGTATAGAATTTTGGAATCAGCAAGTTCAGACCCACATTTAGCTGAGTATGTGCTGCATAATGGTAACGTAAAAGATAAACGGATTTTCAACATGAAGAATGTAAAAAGTACTGAAGAAGATATAACTCTAGAGAACTCCTTTGTTAAACTTCGGTTTGATCAGTCTGGGCTTTTGGAGGTATGTTCTGAATAGTTTCCAAATTCATGGAAGGGTTATCACTTTTATTATAATATGTGCAGATTATGTATGCAGAGGGGGGAAAGTCGATGCAAATACTCTGGGAGAAAGGATGGATGAGCTATATGTATCTGATATATGTGGTCCACTGTGACCACTTGCTCCTAACAAGGGTGGTCTGTGGGTGGTGCTGCTCTGTGAACTGTTACTGGTCCACAAGATAAGTATAGAAGCTGTAATGGTTGAGAAAAATGTTTGTGGAAACTCTGAAAGCACAATGACACAATAAATTTATGCCTACTGAATCTAATAATAAAAAAATTGAGTGTATATTTGGTATATCACTTTTAATTTAATTTTTCTAGTAATTCACTCTTATTGTACTTCACAAAAATATTGGTCCATGCATACTGGAAATAAAAAAAAATAAACCTGCTTCTTCAGTACAGAAAGTTTGAGAAGCACTGGTCCACATCTCTTAATTTGTGTATCTCTTTCTTCCTTAATGAAGTGTGTTCTTTTTGTTTCTATTGTGAAAGTTTTAAATTCTAAGTATTAGCTATAAAAGTATACTTTTAAATATAAGATTTTGGGTGTTCATCCAAGAATCGTGAACATTAGAGGCTGAATGTTAGCATTTTTCTGTCTGTCTTGAGGTTTTTTGGTGTTTTTTTTTTAATCAACATATACATGGAGCCAGATGCAACATCATTAAAATCTTAATATAGTAAGTTGCTTTTAAACATTGTTTTTATCCTTAGGAAATGATAAATAAAGAAGACAGTAAACATCATGAAGTAAAAGTGCAATTTTCATGGTATGGAACCACCAGTAAAAAGGACAAAAGTGGTGCCTACCTCTTCTTACCTGATGGGGAAGCCAAGGTAAGTGCCAATGAACTGAGCTGTGAATAAGCATTCATTGAAAGAGTAATGAAGAAAAAAATAAGTTCATCTCATTATTTTGTCATCTGTTAGGTATAGATGAGTTGGTTCCACTATTATATTTCCTTATTGACACTTGGCAATCGGTAGTCATGAGTGTTAGGTAAACAAATAATTTTTCAGGGTTGGAATTCATTAAGGTGCTACAATGAACAGTTGCTCTCCATGGAAAGAAGCCAGATTTGTTGGAGGGTTCAGGTGCTGTTGTGGTGTTCTGTGTGGCACAGCACATATACAGAGACAAATTATCTAGCCATAGGAGAAAAATAAATTGTCCAGTGGGCCATTTTTCTCCTTAACTTTCAGCACTTTAAAAAACAAAAAAAAATTTTCCCTCCCCTTGACTGTAAAGGTGTAATAATATATACAAATTTTGGCACATTTTTGAAAATGCAGAAAACTGAAGAAAACAATAAAATTTACCAACTATTCCAAAGGCCATGCAAACCACTGCCAACATTTTGATGTATTTTTTATTGTCTTACTATGCATATCCCTTTCTCCCCCATTTTCACTGTTGTGACAGTGCTCACAATCAAATGATATATTCTTTGAAAACACATTTTTAATATATACTGTTGTGATTAAAGGTCTGAGGGTCCAATGTCTAACATGGTGACTGTAGTTGATAACACCATATTATATGATATGCTGACAGAGTAGAACTTAAATGTTTTCACACACACAAAAATGTATATATATGTAAAAAAAAAAAAAGAATTTCCTATTGTTGCATATGTAGATTTTCTCCCAATATTTCACTACTGTAACATTGTGATAAGCTTTCTTTGTAGCATTCTTTTTATGCAGTGATGATTATTTCCTGAGAATAACTTTCTAGAAGAGTTATTTTGTGTCAGTGGATGAGGCCTTTAAGACTTGATACAGGGGCGCCTGGGTGGCTCAGATGGTTAAGCGTCTGCCTTCGACTCAGGTCATGATCCTGGAGTCCCGGGATCGAGTCCCGCATCAGGCTCCCTGCTCGGCGGGGAGTCTGCTTTTCCCTCTGACCCTCCTCCCTCTCCTGCTCTCTGTCTCTCCTTCTCTCTCTCTCAAATAAATAAATAAAATCTTTAAAAAAAAAAGACTTGATACATACTGGGGCGCCTGGGTGGCTCAGTTGTTAAGCATCTGCCTTCGGCTCAGGTCCTGGTCCCAGGGTCCTGGGATGGAGCCCCGCATCAGGCTCCCTGCTCTGCGGGGAGCCTGCTTCTCCCTCTCCCACTCCCCCTGCTTGTGTTCCCTCTCTAGCTGTGTTTCTCTCTGTCAAATAAATAAAACCTTTAAAAAAAAAAAAGACTTGATACATACTATTTCTCTGTCCTCTAAAGTGACTGCATAAATATTCGCTCCCACCAGCATTTTTGAGAGTAGCTCTCTAATATACCACTCCAAGCACTGAGAATCAGTCATATCAAAATCTTTACCTACAATAATGGGTGAAAAATATTTTACTGTTAAGTTTTTGTGATTATTAGGGAAGCTAAACTTCATACATTTATTTCTCTCTCCTATATCTTTTGTGAGTTTCATATATAAGTTCTTTGACCATTTTTCTACTGGTATGACTTACGGATCTATAAGCATTCTTTATATATGGTAAAAATTAATCCTTTTTCCTATATACTGCAAAATGTTCCATCAGTGTGTCATTTAATTTAATTATGTTATGCTGTTATAGTATTTTTTTTTTAATTTTTGTGTAGTCAGTTCTGTATTTTTTTCTTTAGAACATCTTCCTTTGCTTTTCTACTTATATAGGTTTTCTCTACTTCAAGATAAGTTAAATATTCTCCATATTTTGTTGCCTAGAAACCTGTCTCCTGCAGAAGTTACTGTTGTTCTTCAATTTCGAAAAACCTGTTAACCGAAATCAAATAATAGATTTTATTTTATTTTTTTTTTAAGATTTTATTTATTTATTTGACAGAGAGAGACACACAGAGAGAAGGAACACAAGCAGCAGGGGTGGGAGAGGGAGAAGCAGGCTTCTCGCTGAGCAGGGAGCCCGATGCGGGGCTCGATCCCAGCACCCCGGGACCATGACCTGAGCTGAAGGCAGACGCTTAACGACTGAGCCACCCAGGCGCCCCAAATAATAGATTTTAAAGAATAGCATTGACCGTTCTAAGGAGTCTAGTTTTTTGTTGTTTCGATTTTTTTTTTAATCAGTGAGGAATTAAAGGTAAACTACAGCTCATAGTAGCGGTTCTAGGAAGGGTAGTGGATCCTAAGTATAAGCTGTATCAGTCTGTTCTCACTTGGACAAGAATTTGGGTTTTGGGTTTTTTTTTTTTTTAAGATTTTTATTTATTTATTTGAGAGAGAGAGTCAGAGAGAGGGCACAAGCAAGGGGAGCAGCAGAGGGAGACGGAGAAGCAGGCTCCCTGCTCAGCAGGGAGACCGATGTGGGGCTTGATTCCAGGAACCTGGGATCATAACCCCAGCCAAAGGCAGACGCTTAACCAACTGAGTCACCCAGGCACCCCAGGAATTTGGTTTTGATTGACTGTTCTTATACCAAAGAAAAAATGAAAAATAACAATACTTCTGGAATATTATGCATGGACAATTGTGACTAATTTATTTAAAATTATTCTATCTTTAAATAGCTCTAATATTAAATTAAAAAAACAAGAGAATTATCATATATTTACAAAGAGAAAATAAAAGACTATCAGGGAGGCAGGTGGGTGCATCAGAAACAGGTAGGAGCCCAGAAATCCCCATGCCAGCTTTCATCTTCTTCCCTTACTTTTTAGCTATATGGTAAAATTAGGTCCAAGAACTTTGTAAACTCTTAATGCATTATATTAATTTCAGAATATTTTTTCTGGAACCAGAGAGGTACATTTGGAAGAAAATTTCACAGTTCTGAAAATCTGATGCTACTTAAGTAGTTCGCAATGCAAGCCTAGCTCGTCATGCCATTGTTGAGCTTCTGCAGCCTGTAATGCTTAAGAAAATATAATTCCTTCAAAAAAAAGAGAAAATATAATTCTTCATAAATGCTTTCAATGTGTTCCTATGTCACAGAAGTATGTTCTGTTCCTGATTTTTCTTGACAACTAGATTCGAAATGACGAAACCTTAAACCAGTGGTTGCCATAGTTTTTTCAAGTTTGTAAATTTGCTTTATATTCAGCTAGTTCTTTCTAGTAAAAGGGCAGTGTGTTTTATAGACTAGTAAACCTAACTGTGATTAAGCAATTCTCTGAATCCTGCTTTCTGTTTGCTTAGATGACTCCCTGTGGTCATCCTTGCCACCTGCCCGACCCCTGAACATTAGGGGGCCACGGTTATAATAAACGTTTGCCTGGGAAAATGTCACTGCTGTAGAATGAATGGTATTTCTAATAAATAGCACATGGACAATATAGAAGGGTTTTAATTAGAAATTTTTATAGCTGGGAGGGAATGTTTGTAGATCACCTAGGCCAGTCAAGTTGTAAACATTTTTATTTTCTATTTTCAGCACTTTTTGTCTAATGAAAAACCTTATACTCCATTTTTATAGCATGCGCCTGTTCTGATACCTTGTAAGGTTTTGTTTTCACTTGAGATTGCAAATATCAGGTGGTATGTATTTGCCATTTGGGAAATGATAATAAACATCCCTTGGAAAAGTTAAACGCTGAAATTTTTTCTTAAAAATGTCATTTCCTCCTCAGCCTTATGTTTACACAACACTGCCCTTTGTCAGAGTGCAACGTGGAAGGTTTTACTCAGACGTGACTTGCTTTTTGGAACATGTTACCCGTAGGGTCCGACTGTACAACATCCAAGGTAAGAAAACAAAGCAATAGCTGTGAAACATGTACTCTGGTTCTGGAATTCTTTGTGTGTCGTTTTTAATAAACTAGCAATTGGTTTTTTTTGTGTTTTTTTTTTTTTTGTTATGTTATGTTAATCACCATACATTACATCACTAGTTTTAGATGAAGTGTTCCATGATTCGTTGTTTGTGCATAACACCCAGTGCTCCATGCAGAACGTGCCCTCTTTAATACCCATCGCCAGGCTAACCCATCCTCCCACCGCCCTCCCCTCTAGAACCCTCAGTTTGTTTCTCAGAGTCCATCGCCTCTCATGGAGCAATTGGTTTTTGAACATGGTATTTATGGTGGTCTTTCCTAAACTTGTCATTATACTCACTGTGTGGTTTAAAAATATACTTAGCCTTTTGATAATCAGAAATGGTAAAACATTTAACTCTACATATGTATGTTCTTTCCCTATATATATCTCCTCTTACGTCTCATAATATTTGTCTTGGTCATGAGTTCATTAATTGGAATCTTTATTTCTAAGATCTAAAAACAGTGGGGTTTTTTGTTGTTGTTTTAATTTTACAAAATGGGAATTCTGTCAATTACGGCTTTCAGTTAGTAGATCATTGACCGTCTCTGACATGCACACACACCCCCCACGTATGGCCTGCCTTAAATATGGAATGTATTACAATAGCAGGTGTTACTGGAATTTAACTTTCTTTTAAGAAAAACGTTCGTTACTAGTTCTTTCTGTTTACAAGTCTTTACCTGGGAGAGTATAAAATCGGGCGATTGTTTATTGCTTTTAGGATGGGACTGATGAGCAGCATCTTTATCAACCAAGTGACAGTAAATAGGCTTTTAATCCTCTTAGGGACTTAACCATGGGCAGTGGTTCTTGTCCTTCCTTAGGATTTGGATGGAGCCGTGGCTCCCAGACTCCCTCAGAGTTGCACATTTATGTTGGTTCATGTTGAATTCACTTTTTTTAGAATGGAGTACTTTTCCAACCACAAATTTAATCCTAGTAACCAGACCACTTAACCATGGTATCAACTCTCTTAGAAAAGGACCTCATAAAAATGCCACTTTAGATTCTTCTTTGCTGTTAGCTAGGCTGAAAAAGTTAGAAAAGGAAATATTGTTTCCTTGAATCTTTATACCAGTAGATAATAAAGTGTTTGAAAACTAATGATAAAATATATGGGCAGGCGCTGTTTGCTTTTTGGGTTTTGTGGGGAAGCAAAGGGTACTGTGTTCAGGGAATGTTCACTTTGCTACCTACAAGAAAGTCTGAAATAATCTTTTATTGAGTTTTATTGAGTTTTCTAAAATCTCTGGTAAGCCAGAAACAATATTTTTGACCATCCTTTTCTACTCTTGCATAAGCCATTGTTCAACATCTCTGAGAGCTCTAAACTTATACCTTCAGCTACGGCCAGAGGTTTCATTTTATGGGTAGAAAGTAGCATCCCCATCACACAGGAGATGTGCTTATCTGCTTTTAGATTTGCTTAAAAAACTGTTGCTTGTAATGGAATGTTTCTTCCTTGAGTACAGCATGGCCCCCACTTTGGCCCAGGCCTGTGTCATCAAGCATGGTTTACTGTTGTTTTTCCTTAGGTCTACTTAGGAGGTAGGCTGTGTGACAGAGTTAATGCTGAAGCAGCTCGCCAGAGAATTCCTACTTCTCAGTCAAGTCCGTTTGCTTAAATGCTTTTCTTTTTGTTTAAATGAGTCTGTCACCATCATTGCAGCCTCAGAGTTTTCGCAGGTTGTCCAGGGGATCTGGAGCTCATCACAGAGGATGGTTTCCGTAAATTAGAGGGCCCTCTTCTGCTGCTGTGACTATAAGCTTAGTTTGCCGTCATATCCCAGTGGTTGATTTGGAAATTAATAGGCTCTGACTTGCCTGTGTACTCAACCCAACAAACATGCATTTACCAGGCCCTAAAAGCTTTTCTTTTCTCCTCTTTCCTTCTCCCCAGCTAAGCAGTCCAAAATGCCCAATGGCTGACTAGTAGCCCCTTTGCAGAACCAGGAACCACCAAGATTTAACTGCCTCCCAGCCCTCCAAGGTGACAATGCCAGTGGATTGGTCAGTTAAGAAAGAGAAGTTGTTCTCAACTGGACGCTTAGAGTATTAGCATAACAAAAATAATAATAATAAAATAAGAATACAGACCTCGAATTGCCTCTGGATGTCACAATGGGTGGAATAAACAGGGTGAAGCATTTGGATGAGATTTCTGTAGCTTGAAAGCAGAAAGCTTCAGAAGTTGGTGGGAAATGGCAGATAAATAAGTTAGGTATAACGTGAAGTTAACTTAGAGTGCTTCTCCAGATGGGTTTTACTGTTCTTGGCTTGGATTGAACCTGAAACCAGCGTGTATAACCATTCGAAGTGACATAGCAATCTTTATTTTTGCTCTCTCAAGCCCAGAGTGTTTATATTTTTTGTTTTTTTCCAACATGAAAGCAATCGGTGGGAGATGGAGATACCAGTTCACCTGAAAGGCTTTCATTCAAACTATACACCCTTCTATGTTTGTATCTGAGCCCCTCTCAACAAATCTCCCTCTTGGAAAAAATAAGCCCCGTTGTGGAGAGAGAGCCTCTTCTCAGTCGCCTCCCTGACCTCCCTCCATCTGTCGTTTTCTTTCACATACCGGTGCATGAAGGCTCAGGTTGTCTGGATCCTGGCTCATTGGGGTTTTAATTAAATCACTGGTCGAAACCTAAGGAAGAGATGTGAGGTCCTCAGGGTGTTTGGATGTCGACGAGTTCAAAGTGCCTGAATGGGGTCTGGTTATGCTGCACCAAAGCAGCCGTACTGTGAAATACTTGAAAGCTCTTCGGTGTTTTAAACTTCGGCCTCATGTAAACCAGGTATCTGGGCGATTGATCAAAATCCATGGACAGGATGTAGCTTTTCGTCTTAGGTGTAGAGAAAACATCAGCCAACTTCCATGCTTTTGTCGAGTGGCTTGTGTTTAATATTTCTTGAAAGAACGTAAATACCTACTTTCAAATTTAACTTTCTAAATTGTCTTTGGATGTATGCTAATTGTGCCCCCTTTAAATAAACTGACCAGATGCAGTTATTCGGATGAGTATTAATGAATAGAGCCTGTTTGTTGTTAGTACCAAATTTATGAGCCAGAAAAAAATGGGGCTTGGGGGAGAGAAACTATTAATATTTTATGATTAGGTACTATAATGGTATTAGGTTACTAAACCATTAATTATACAAAAGATTTTATTACCTCTCAGCAACAAGGATAAAGAAACAGAAAGAGTTGATATTATGGAATATCTGTCTTTATTGAGAGTCTATATTAAATGTTTCAAATTCAGTTTACTTGAAATATTCTTTTAAAAAAACTAAAGTAATACAAACCTGATAAAGTATCCTTAAATTCCTCAGTCTCTATTTTAGTTACTCTTTGACCGTTTTCTCCCCCAAAGTAACCTTTGGCTCTAATTAAGCTTTGGGAGAGAAAACAAAAGCAAGAACAGAAATCAAACAGCACTTCCCAGATTATAAAAACTGTGTGGTCATCATTGATTTTGCAACAAACTGAGTTGGGAGGCGTAGGTTCACCCAACTTTGTTTTTTTTGTTTTTTGCTTTTTCTTGGTGTTTTATATTTAAGTTTTAGTGTCTATTTGTGTTCTCTCCAGATTCTGAATATGGTCAGAGGTGCAGTTTAGAGTCCTCTCTTAACATCATTTAAGCTATTAAAAAACACTCTTGTGTTTCTTTTCATTATTGTTCAAACATTACATTCAAAACGTTTCTAGAAATATTAAATTAGAGGAAATCTTGTGCTCACTAGCTTTAAAAGCTCTACAAGATCAGAGGGATTTGAAAGAGTTCTAATGCAACACAATGTATCGCCTTCTATCAGGTTAAATAAGAAATCCATTTTGTAGCACCCATAATTTAATGAAATGCCCTTTTGGAACTTTTTTTTTTTTAATTTTTCAAAGATTATATTTAGTTTGTAGAAAATAACATTTTTCTGGAGGAAAAGATGGGAGAAATGAGGATTAATTTTTCTTGCACTATAATCATCTTTAATTAAATTGAAGCTTTTCGTGTCACTAAGGCTACTTTAGCTTTTTTTTGTTAATCTTGATTTGGAAGATAGAATGTGATACAGGCAGAAGCCCCTGTATCCCCTTACGTTATATTTGTTTCATCACAACAAGTGCATACCTTGCAGTGACATCATGATCAGTAAGTGACATTTGCTAGCTGTGGCTTCATTTGTCTTTGGAGTTGTAATTATTAGACTTTGGTGCCCTAGTTTTTTGACATCAACAGCTACTTTGAAGAATGAGGTTGCTATGGGTTACCAGTGTGTCCTGTACATTTTCACTAGCACAAGGTTCAGGTTCCAGATCGGTTAAAATATATACCTTCGAGCTTCCCCCCGCCTCTCCGCCCCAGGACTACGTTCTCCTAGGCGGGTGTTTGTGAATGAATGAGTATGTGTGTAAACCATGTTTCAACCCTTAAGAGAAATATCTAAATGCAATACTTTTGCCTATTTTCCACCAACATACTATGAAAGTACTATATGTAATGGATCTTGCTAAAAGAAAGCAAGTAGCCTGGAGGTAAAATGTAATGAACTGCCATCAAAAAGTATGGAAGAAAAGACTTTCCTTTGGCTGCAATGACTGAGTAATTTCCTTGCATGGGCACATTTAGCATTCAAAAAGAGGTCGCTTAGTTTTTCTCTGTTTTGAATATGTAATGTGATTGGATTCATAACATGACCCTTGACTTTTAGAAAGTCAAAATGAACTCCATCTAGTTAAACACATAAGAGAATCACACTGGGAATTAGAGGTCTGAATCCTCAGTTGTGCCTTGAAGCCAACCAGTGACCTTGAGTTTGTCCTTAGATTTCTTACGGACTCAGTTTCTTAAACTGTAGAAAGACTAGATAGATGGCCAATTAGGTATAACCATTAAAGAGTCTTCACAAAACTTAGTATTACA